TTTTTTTTAAATACTCAACAGCCGGAGATACATCTGTAATACTTTCAGTTTCTGAATATATCCTGCAGAAGGATTTGTACTACATAAATGCATTCTTTAACCCACTATACCTTGGTTTTCAGGTGTGGCACTGTAAGGTAGACCTCCAATAGGAGACTTTTTCTTCCAGAAGACACTACACCGTAACTTCAACAACGCAATCTTTGTCTATCCAAAAACCCAAGTGTAATAAAATGATTATGAAGGAATAATGTTTTTGTGTAAAAGTGATCCCATTGACCACTTGTGGATTAAGGTCGCATGCATTAACATGGTCACACTCTGCGCTTCACCCTACAGTGAAAATGTGCGAACATGGACTCTGGCCGTCAACATATATCATGGTCTGGGAAGCTGCTTGGTCAATATCTCTTTTCTACTGATGACTCTTTCTGATTATGTTTTGTCCAATACACTGACTTTTGAGTTTCTCCATTTGGAGAGTTTGAATGAAATAGTTGATTAGAAAAGGCTCTTTGTTACCTCTCCCATCTTATTAATGGACATTTTTATGATTAATTGACCCAGGACAAACCAGCACAGAATTCCACTTGATATTTCTTTGTATGACAGTGAAGTGGTAATAATCACTCTCCAAGAATAGTTTTGCAGTTAGCTGAGCATCCACTCTGTTATAATTTCATCCAGCCCACACCTACTTTATCTTATATTCTCTAATCTCAACATGATGAACTTTTTCATACAATATGTATTAAAAACTGTGCGATTCGCTGCTTTAGGGTGCTGTGGGTTCTAAAGACATACAAAAGCTGAAAAGTAACTAGACAAATCCAAAGAAAAAAATTCTATTCAGGCTATTAAAGGCCAAGATATTAACGTTTAACTCTGGTACTCCTTGAGCAACAGCTTGTATGGGTAATGGGTGCAAAAGAGGAAAATGCCATGTTTGCCCCATTCTTGCACTCTCCTCTACTTACAGCCTAATGGGGATTATGGGTGTGTGAAGGTTGATTCCGACCTAGTGCGAACAACGTCACATGGGACTGCATTAAAAGTCTTAATAAAAATCAGATTAGAGCAAAACTTCCCAAGAACCCTTGATATTAAAGTATTTGTCACCCCATTTTTTTCCATTTGCTATGACTGCCTGTCGCTGGAACATATTTCTTTGTGTTCTGACCCCAGTGTAGCCACAGAGTTTCAATGGAGATATCATGCATTACCCTTTGGATACCATGGAGGAAATGTATTAGGGATGAGAACACCTACTGAAGTTTCTCGAGTACCCTTGATTTAAGATGTGACATGCCCTAAGCAGGGAATCCCTGCTTGTATGTAAGATCTATTAACGTTAAAAGAAACATAGAACAAGTCTAAGAGCCCTTTCTTGTGACATCCCAAAGCAGAATAACATCATCTCACCTCAAAAAGCTTCCCTCTGTATGATATTGCAAAGGATTTCCTATATTCTTTTATTGTCTACTACTGAATTATATTTTAACTCACTCCAGGCTTCACATGGCTTGTCTCTGTCAAAGGCTTTGGAAGGCACATTAGTAAACACCTTGATGCATCACCTCATGGGAAATGCTTAAGGCATAATCTTCTCAATATACTCATAGCTCATCACTTTCTGTGAACATTATATGAAGACCAAATGTGATGCCACAGATGGCAAAATTGGATTTGGGATGCTTAACATCAAAAACATTCCCTTTTATACTCTGCTGGTTTCATGGGGGTGGGTGGTGGGGGGGAATTTTTTCATACATTTACTTCTGTGTCCCTTTCCATTCAGTCTGTTGCCTTGTCAAAGAAAGGCGCTGGCAGATTGTGCTTTCTGTCCACCACAAGTAAGAAAACAACTACATTAAATTAACCTTAACTACTACAAATTGCAGAAAAGCCACAGTAACCAATATTACTAAAGAATAACCTAAGTTTGTGGAGTACCCTTACAGTAGAATTTAAAGAACAGACTTCTAATAAACATGTACTTGCCAAGGAATTATCTAGGTATATTCCACCCTGCTTCAAAGCATGGCATCAGGTTAGATAACATACTGCTGTAACACGTCTATGAGTAGGAAATCTATTCAGTATTTAATTCCAGAGAATACAAAACTTCTTCAGAAGCAAACTGAAATTAATGGTCTCTCTCATTAAAAAGTAGCTTGTCTAGCCAGTCCTCTAAACCAAATCTGTGCTCAGTACAATGGGTGGAGAAGTCTACACTTAACCGAAAAACATACAGAAAGTTTATATTGTTTCCCCAGAGAGAAGCCAGGGCACCAAGTATGCAATGCTACAATACAGGTACTTCATGAAGTAAGCTAGGAAGTGATGGTGTAAGCAGGAGTTGCAGCCAAATTATATGAATGAAAGGAAAATGATGATGCACATATTTCATTTTTCAATGTCTTGTTTATGTGGGTTTTGCTCAAGAGGAATGGAGCTGCAGGCAAAGCATGCTACTAGCAGGCATATCAAGTGATCTGAGGCAATGCAGAGCTATAAAGAGGATGGGATGTTATTTGCCTTTCCTCAAGGACCACATCAACATTATTACTATTATGCTGCTGCTCCCAGGATACCTGTTACAGGAAGACTTCCAAATTTTCCCACAGTTTGAATGAAATTTTATCTCCTAAATATGATTTTGTTTCTCTATGAAATATATATTTTCCTTTAGCATTCATATGGGGCTCATCAATGGCACTTATCAATACCTAAGTATTCTTACTGAGGCTCAGAGTCTCATGACCACCTAACATAAGCGTAATGATCAGAGAAGGTACGTGATTTCCTTGTGGACCTCTCCAACAGCTATTTCATTTACAAGAACAAAAACTCTGCTTCTATTCCTGACAGAAGTATCTACTGAAATCCTGGAGTTTAGTGTTAGTAAAATCTGTTTTCTGCTAGCAAGCACAATATGCAAAAGGGTACTAGGGAAATTAAGTTTTCCCCTTGTTTTCTCCTGTTTCTTCCTGTCTTCCTTCTGAAGAGCACATAAGACATATGCACCTGACTTAATGCTGTCAAACAGATTAAAAAAAAAATTAAAAAAAAAATAAAAATGAGCAGATGAGAGGTTGAGAGCAGCAGGAAATCCCCCATCCTTAGTTCTAGGCAGGAAAAAATTTAGAGGAAGTTACTTGTAGAAACTAGAAGCTGCAAAACCTTAAACTGAGAAACCAAATTAATGTTGCTGTTCTTTTAAACAGCAGCAATGAAACATTTATGAAGACAACTGAAATAAAATTAAGGCTACAAAGGAGCCAAAGTTCTCTTGAATTGAAAGAGCAAATTTGAAGGGAGCAGAGATATCAATACATCAGCATTTCCAGAGGCACAGCAAGTAGCTTAAACAGAAGAAATATTAAAAACACTCCTCTTGGGCATAAAAAAAGTTACCACACACACCAGGAACCAAAGCAGACACATCCACCTCATTATGTATGAACAGTGTGCTCTGAATAAGCCCCACAAACTGATTGCACAGAAGGAACTGAAAAGATGACAGACCCTATTTATAGAATGGCTTTAATGTCATGGAATCATCTCCATGTAATCTTCATCTGTTTCCACAAAAAAAAGAGGTGTATTCTTCACTTAAATCACTGGCAGAATTATCATTCTTATTTTTACATATAACTTAAACAAAGAAGCACTTCTGCAGTATCAGAAAGAAGAAATTCTAAGAGGCAGGAATTTACATACTTCACTATTTCCACTTATTAAAAAGAATGTTTCTTTAATTAAAAATAAATAAACAAAGAAACCAACCCACATGGTTTACCCAAAAATAGGTTTGTGGAAATTCACAAATATCAGAAGAAGATCTTTACGACCTTTGAGAGTCCTTATGTCCTAGACTATAAGAAAATATACTTGAGAGCTGAATTTAGTTTAACATTTTATAGGTCATAAGGAGTTGCTCTGCCACTGGAAAGGATTGTTTTTTGCCAAAACCATTCTTCTGACATAAAAATGCTTATCTGGTGTGTCCCGTATTGTGCAAATACAGTCAGTATAGAACATATGAAGATAAGGAAAAATTCTAACGAAGAGAGGAGTATTTGCTTGTTTGCAACTTTCCATTCCAAAGACCTCTCCCGTTGTTTCTTATTTATCTTCATGCAAACAGAAACGTATCTCCTTTAGCAATTAATCGTGTACTCACCTACTAAAACTTTCAGGTTTAGATTGCTCATTTACTGGTTTTTTTTTTCCTAGTCAATTTTCCATTTTGAAATAGGAGAGAAAAAAATGTGCATGGATAATTTTTTCTGTTAACATCTTCTTCTATGTTCAGTGCATAGCAAAGGCACACAACCTACTCAGGAGCTCACGTGTTGTGAAAGGACACCTGCTTGTCCATGGTGAATGTTAGCAGAATTTAACACAACGTGGGACAACCCTGTTCTAGCGTGCTGGCTTACCTTTCCACCAAGCTAGGTTAAAAACATTTACTCCCATATTTTTAAATGGCTGAAGAATTTTCCTCACTGTTTGCAAGCTGCTATAGAAAATGTGTCATTAAAACATGCCCAGTAAGGTAGCTGTCTGTTTCTGCGATCCACACTGAACACACCTACCTGTACTATGCCTGCACCTTCTCCAGCAGGCACATGAGAAGATTCTGAGATGTGAGCGAACTGCTACCAGGTCAAGTCATTCTACCAGGTGAAAGCATTTATGTGTTATCACTTCATATACTTTGGACTTCGCTGTTCCTGCCTTCTTCCTCTTCACTCATACAAAGCACCTCAGGATATATCAACTTTTTCTGCTCCTTCTATGCAACTAAAACTAGAGAGCATCTTCTTAAAAAAAAAATCCCGAGCCACAAAACTGGGTTTAGGATTAAACCTAGAAATAGTATTTTCAATTGCTTTATCAACCATTACACTTAATCCTCAAGATACTATTCTGTTTATATTTTAACCTGTATAATGAAATAAAAACAGTAAATGGATTTTTAAAACCATACTTACAGAAAAAACAGCAGCCAAAGTCTCAACAGCACCAGTACTTAGAGTAACGTAGGGGATTGTTTCATGATTGATCCCAGCTTCACTAAAGATGCTGTTTGTATAGTACCAGATCTGTATCAGAAAGAAGAAAAAGAGTTATTATTATGGCTTGAACCACAATATATTGGTATTCAGCTCAAGCATTTGATCTGCCAGAGGCCAAACCTGTTAAAACACTGAACACTTCCAAATGACCGAGGGCTGGGCAGGACAACAAAATGAAGGGAAGGTGCAAATTTCAGGTGGATTAGTCACAACACCAATGTACTTCTGCTTGCAGACCCAGGCAGAATTCCAAGCAGCTTTAACTCCATTTAGCTTAATTCACTTTAGGAGTAAATAAAAAAACCTCACTCTAAGTTTGAACACAAGGATACAAATAGATTTCATGTGGCTGAGCCACACTGCTAAAAAAGCAGGTTTGGGTGGCTTTATGGAATACTTCAATGGCACATAACAACATGGGAAAGAACAGGAAAAAGATGCTGAGAGGCATTGCAGAAACTGGTCCTTTTTGGACAGAAGGTATGAGATTTATCTCACTTTAACTTCACTGCAGCGTGGACATCTGCAGTCAAGTCATCACCCTAATCTCTCTTTATTATCAACAGAAAGAGAAGTTACTTGTAGAATGAGAATTGCTTAGTGAAAAGTAAAATGCTGCTTTTAGGATGAAATTAATCAATAGGCTAGAAGGAGCTGTCACTAATGGACAGAAACACAGGGAGCATAGGGTTACTAGCTTAGAGGAAATCATTTGTGTTTGGTCAGTAAAACCATATCCAGCAGTGACAACATCCAGACAGAGAATATATAGTGGTGATAATCTAAAATAACAAGTCTGGTAAGTATTAGAGCCCCATTCACATCACAAATAAAGTCTGAAAACCATATAATATTTATGTTGGACTCAAGGTAACACCAAAGAACTAGCCAAAGATTTTGGCTGCCAAAAGCATACAACAAGGAGAGACTGCCTTGAGAGAGAAAAGAATTGGTTTACTAGAGAAGATTAAAAACAATTGAAACAACTCATCATCAGAAGAAAATAAAGTTCCAAACCACAGCTGATTATCTATGACAACAAACCTGAAAGCCATTGATAATGATGGTGCTAAACACAAAAGTAGCAGTGAAATTTTTTCCCATATGCTGCCCCTGTGACAAACCCTAACAGGGCAAGCACTGATAAAGAAAACGGTTGTCTGATGAATGGAAGTGTTTTGATGGCATGAGGAAAACCCTGCTGCCTGCCACCATATTATACACATGCTGCATCTGTTCATCATGCTACTAACTCAGGAGCTTTGTAAAAAAAAACCCAGTAATTCTAAATTCCCATTTAGCCCTTCAGCAAAGCTGCTTGTCCCAGACCAAGCAAGAAAACCCTACTTATCTTACATAAGACAAAAGTAAAATAAAATACCAAGGACTAAAAAGTCACCTACATCACCTTACAGATAAAGAGAAGCTGACTGAAGACTTTTATGCCTACTGCTTTCACCAGAATAGATGCAGTGACAATATGCGATAGCAGCAAACTTCTCTATATGAAGTAATCTACCTTCATGTGTTGTGCATTGGTGTTACCGTGCATTTCATTGGCCTGCTGATACAGAGCACAGACAGAAGCAAAATCAAGCATCAGGTACCAATTCCCTCTGAGTAAATTTTTGAAACTCAGTACTCTGACAGCCTATTCACCTCCCATACACCTATGTAGTATACAAGGAAAACAACGTAGTACAAAACCGTGGTAACAGTAATTTTTTTCTCCATACTGCAAGTTACAAGATTGAAAAATTCATACAATTAAAGTTAGAAACCATGTAATTTAGGCATTTCATTCTTGATACCAGTTTTGCATAGCAGGTAGGGCTTCTAAAAATGATGGCGATATTGCAGGTAGGCAGACCTTGAAAGAGAAAAAAAGAGGCCAAACAGTCACTTAAGCAGGCAACTCCTGAACGCAATTTGCTAAAATGTGACAACCAGAACACAGACATTTTTCAAGTGGTTTTACAGAAGAGCATGACTGACCATTGGTTGTAAGAGTGGTAGTACCACAGCTAGATTAAGAAACTGGCAGAGCAAAGACAGGAGGATGAGGTTCACTGACTTACTAGTCTCTGTAGCAGCACAAAAATAACTTAAGGTAAAAATAAACAAGATGTACACATTTCAAAACAACAAAAGTGAATATTTTTCAGCCTGTGTATCATTAAATAGGGAAATATACCGCTCTAGGACACTACTGAGACAAACTTACCAGGCTAATGATGACTACTCTACTTTGACTTAAGTTATTTTTCTAGCATGGTTTGTTAGCTAATGGTTTCATTAGCTAACAAAATTAGCTAATGATTGGCCTAAAAGTTCTGGAATGAAAGAACTGTGGAAAATGGGGCAGAAGGTTCAAACACAAAGAAACAACTAGTCTTGAGTCCAAATCAACACAGGGACATCTGGCTTCCTACGTCCATGGTGGGTTCCTGTCGCTTCACAGGCTTTGCCTGTAAAACTTTGCCACTTCGGTCAGTTAAACATGAGGAACAGCTGTATCTCTGCAGTTCGATTTCTGCAAGTTTGGAGGCAACATTTTAACATTCTTGCTTGCAGATTACAGTTAGCTGCAGGAAAGTTACTTTCTTTGCTTATCATAAGCTTTTACTCCTATAAGTTCTTAGCTTAGGGTGGCATTCAGTATACGTTATCAGTGGTGTTCCCAAAGTGTCTCACACCATTTACCCCTCAAGCACTGACTCAGTTTTCCAGTCCTTTTGTTTCTCACCCAGCTCCCTACATACATTTCTTCCTAAGAAATTCAACTCTTCAACAGGGAAAAAAAAGGCAACAAGAAAAAGACAGGCAACAACACAGACATACACTGTGTCGCACACTGCATATGCCCCCCTTCCTATACTACCTGACGCCAGGTCTTCTCCATACCAAGTGTTAAGAGCACACCATGGTAGATCTTTTGCATACTGAAAACATGCATTGCTCCACAGGCCCCCATCCGCAGCATGATTTCTTGGCATTTGAAATACAGCCCTCTGCCTTAAGGACAGACCCCACAGAACCTAGAGATCCCACTTTGGAAATGACAGTCTTAAAGCAATATGCAGTATAGTTTATTTCTTGATATGAAAAAGGATAAAGTTCACCAATGAAAACTTCACTGTAGTTCTGTGTCTTCTTTAGAAACAAGATACAATGGTGGAAGATAAATAAATTTATTATGGATGATATGTATCACGGATAAATTTTATCAGATGAGAAGAGACTAATACAGATTAATTTCTTTATGTCAATTTAGGTCAGACTGTCTGGTATTTCACTCTAATTTGATACACTAATATGATCAGGGCTTCACCATGATTTCTGTTCCACATGGAGATGAACAAATTACTATTTTTTAAGGAAACCACATTTCCATTGTGAAATAAAAGCCTTAAAAGGAAGCAAGAGTTCTCAGATACCAGCAGGATGATTACAGAAGTCTGCCAGTTGGTAAATTCCCCAAAGAGTGACCTGAGACTCTCGCCTGAAAGAAGTCCAACTTTCCCATATGCCCTGCCCAGATGGTAGCTGTGGAAAAGACCAGACTGACGAACAGGGCACTACAGACAAAGCAAACACAAACAGTTAAACCTTGCTAGCGCTGGCTCACACCCAGCAGGTTAGTTCAGATGCAGTCAGGCAAATCAAGACCCAGGCTCAGGAAAATCTGTCAGACCAGTACCTGTCCTCTAATCTCTGAGCTTCTTTTGAGCAAGATCAGCCAGCAAAACCATGCAAAAGAGACAAGAAATTGAAACCTGGTCTCTTAATCAACTGGTCCAGCTATTTCTCTTGAGCTCTCTTATAATTTCCTTGGGTTTACTATTAACTATTACTATTAACTATTTAAATAATCAATTTCAGAATGTAAATTTTCTGTGAACACTTTTTTTTCATGTTTAGTGGTATTGCATGGGAGGAGCAACAAAGTAATAACAAGAAAAAGTAAGGCTTGAAACAGTCAATTCGACACACTGGTTTCCTGACAAAGATCGTTTTTCTGAAGCATATTTTCAGAAAGTGGCCAGTCAATGGCACTTTAAAGGAACTCTGGCATCCATTTTGGACTAGCCATGTCTCACTATCCCCCCCATGTCCCCACTCAAGCTATGAGAGAGTGTGGTTTTGTTCTGCCACAGAATACTGGACAATTTCTGTCATCTATTAAATACACTCAAAGCCACAAAACTCTTCTATTTCCCCTGAAAATTTAGCTGTGGCATTCTTTTTTTTTTTTTTTTTTTTTTTTTTAGGCAATGTGCATCATTATTTGAACAGTCTGTTTCTTACTATAAATGTCATTTTATTTCACTTAGGGGCTGATAAATTTTAGAAAGACTGGATGACAAGATAATCCCATTTCTTTTCTTAAAAGACTATCCACAATGAGGAACAAAATAGCCTGTCATTAGCACTGAAATCCTACAGTTAGAAGAAAACATCACCTAAACATTTTTATAGTTCACGCCACAATATGAACAAAATTCCTCCCAGCATTTTGTGAAAAGCTTTTAAACACCAGAGTTGTAATTGCATTAATCTTTCAAACGTTCTCCGAAGAATTACTTTGTATTAGGAGTTTTAAAGCTGTAGAGATACCTGAAATAAGCCTGAACTAGTTGTCTTGGGTATCAGAAGCATTTACACTTCTTATCACTGATTAGCCCTAGGGGAAAAAAAATAGCCGAAGTATGCTCTAATGCACAAAGCCACAGTGAGAGCTCCTTTCAGCAGCGGTAATATTGCCTTTCATATACATAAGCAATTAACACCTTTGAGCTATGCCGAAAACCCCTTTCACTCTGAGGTACTTCATGAGAACATTTGTGTTGTGCAACGTAAAGTATCTAAGACAGATGCGACACGCTGCAGCAAGGTAAGTTGTGGCTGGATATACAGAAAACACTTTTCACAGTGTAAGAGGTGAAAACAACTGGCAGAGGTCGCTCAGGGAGGCTGTGGACTCTTCAAAGTCGAACATACTATTCAACTGCACAAAGCCCTCGGTAGCCTAAGCCAACCCTGAAGCCAGTCCTGCTCTGGGCAGGGGCTTGGACCAGATGACCTCCAAAGATCCCTTCCAATCTAAATTGTCCCATGATCCCCTCCTAGCTGATGTATTAGGCTCAGACAGATGGAAGAGGAGACTTTGATATCCATTAGCCTCAGACACATTAATGGTCAACAGGACTTCTCGCTATTGACTCTTTTGTGTGTTTTTTTCCTCTTTTGCTCCACTTTCCAAGAAAGGCACATTGAAGCACAGCTTATTCTTCAAATTGTATGAAACAACAACAAAAATCAAGCATCCAGTGCAATGTCTTAAAATCACTTACAGGAACTTCTGTTGACTTCCATAAGTACAGAACTGAATTAATCCAAGCAGAAATGGCTACTGAAAAGACCAAGTTTACCTAACATGAACAAACATGGGGCATATAAGACCAGATCTTAACTGACCAGAAAGAGAGAATCTGAGTATCAGAAACAGGAGCTACACAATCTTGCTTTGCTGATCTGTTCTACATTTTCACATATTGCTTCAAAGTTAACACAACATGGCTTCTTTCCCTTTTTTTTTGTTTGGAAAAAAAACAACCACCAAACAATACAGCTCTCCATGGACCTTCCCACATGCTGGTGTAATCAAATCATTACATTAATAAGAAACAGCCAAAAATGAAAGTCACAGAGGCTGCCGAATGATACAGCACAAACCTTGTACTAAAAAGAAAGAAAGAAGCACCCCAGGAGGAGATGCACATCCCGAAGAAGGACACTTACAGCATTTAGGCCACAAAGCTGGTAGCAGCCCATGGTGACAACCACAGTAATGACCTGCCATCGCACAGCGCTGGTTCTCAGGAGCTGAAGTACTGACACTAACTTGGTGTTTCTTTGGACTCGAGACTCTGCCAAAACTTCTTCTACTTCATGAGACACATCGTCTTTCCCAAGGAAGGTCTGAAATGCTACAAAGAGAAGACATGTACTTTAGGCCAGACATTTGGCACTATGTGTATTTATAATAGACTCGTTTCATAGAAATGGTAATGTGTGACAGAAATGGGAGACAAACATGGGCAACAACTTAATTATTCTTCTGCCAACAATATCATTCTGCTCTGGGTATGATCTGGCTCATCCCTGCAACTGGTCTTGGAAACTGCAACAAGAATATAAACTATCTGGCACCCTACCATATCTCTCCTTATATTATTTTGTGTATAATATAGCCAGTCCAGTGCAGAGGCAAACCCCTGTGTAATCTGAAAAAAGGGTTTAAGAGCAAAGCAGTTCCAAACATTATTTGACTTAGGTACTTTTGCAGCCTAACGATATAGCAGACTTTGTTGCTGGAGATAGACTGGATAGAGAAATAGTAAGATGTAAAAAAGTATGTAAGTCTGGTAAACCAAGAAAAGACAGACATTTGAAAGGAATAGCAATTACTCGTCATATGACTTCCTGTTTTTACTAGCATATAGACAAGAATTCACTTTGTCAAGATGATTAATATTAGAAATAATTACCCAGAGCTGTTAAAGACTTTCTGTTAGTCAACACTGGAGACACAGGAGTGAATTTACCTGGCAAATGTAGGAAAACAATCACATCTCCCCAGAACAACATACCATTTAGTATTACATTATTGCACATCAATGACTTACTGAGATATCCTTCCACTGTGAATAATACAAGCTTTCCACCTCACACCTTCTTCAAGAGGTACTACAAACAGATACCTCCTAATGGAGGTGGTGTATCTCCAACTAACCTTGTTTTACAGATGCTGTATATACTGATGATACTTTTGTCACCATCTTTTGAACATACCCCAGGGGTTGGCTTTTTAAGAGATGTTTCAAATGCTCATCGTCTTGGAGTGATTGCAGAGAAACAATTACACTACACATACCCCTGTAACAAGGCTTTGTGAAGCAGTAGGATGTTATCTCTAAAAGCAATCTTTTACCCAGCAGGTCACTTAAAATTGTTATTTTTATTAAATGAATAAGTTGATTTAGTTCTCCTAAGAGCCAAACGAATTTTTTTCTTATCCACAGCTTTGCATAGTACTGCCTATAAATAAATGACCTTCACATTTTTCAGTAAGTATACATTCTTTTGGATCACAGAAAGGACTTGGATGGTCAAGAAAGCCAGAGACACTGACTAGGCATAGTTAAAATGTCCAGACTCCACTTAGGTTTTGAACTTACAAAATTTTAACTTTACCCAGTAGGTGAAAAGGCCAAGCAGTGGCATTTCAGTGTTGGGAGGGATAAGTCACACAAATGAACCAGTGGCCTCCCTGGAGCACTTCTCTCCATCCCTTTGGCAAATGTGCAACACTGCACACTCTGCCTGGCTCCCAGTCTTGCAGTGCAGGGAACTAATGAGAGCTCTAGGCCAAGATTTTCAGAGGCAGTTAGCACTTCTGTTGCTTTTAATGGGCCCTACGTCACTCTGCTTAACAAGGAGAATGATTTTTTTTAAGGGATGGACACTGACCACCTCTGGGTGTTGAGTCAATTCACAGTACTCATTTATTCTGATATCCAGTTTCTCTCTTGGGAAAGGAGAGGCCAGAATTTTTAAATCCCTCAGAAAAGCATGAGATGTATCTTTTCACACAGGTCTTACAGTCAGAAATGTGTTAACAAATTTGGACCTCAGAACCTGGAATTTAAGCTGCTGAGTTTTGGCCTTTATTATTAAATTACATGCTAAATGCTCATTAAAATGAGTGTGATGTATTTAACGACACTGATAAGAAATGTATTTAATGACACTGATAATAAAGTAAAATTAGAACACTGTGTGCCTATGGTATGTTCAAGTCAACGTTTCACGCTTAAATTACTCTTTCCTCAGTGTTATTAAATACTGAGGAAAGAGTAAATTGGAGCACTGATTAAAAGAAAAGTCAGACAAAGATGAGAACAACCAGACATATCTCACCATACTCTTCTTTCAAAAGATTCTCTCAGATTTTTAAGCATCTGGTTTATCAGTGTAAATTAGGTCAGCGCACAATTTTCTTTATTTTTCCTGTCCTTACAATCCTTGGCATTACTGTAGGGCACACAAGTCAAAAATACAGATGCAGTCAAGTAAAAAGAAAGCAATCTGTCTTTTCTGCACAAGGGAGCTTGCTATATTTCTAGAGGGACCAGGAAGTGAAAAACTGCAATTACCAAAATTACCAAGTATGAGGCAAGGAAAATATAGACACCTGCCTTCTTTTTCTTCCCTCCCTGGTATTAGGACCAGAGATGTAAATGCCACCAGGAAGCTTTGATGGATACTTAAAATTACCAACAAGTCAAGAAATATTAAGAAAATGCTATGCTATACATGCATAGTTTTAAGTAGACAACACTCAGTCTTCCTGGAAAAACACATTTTCCTGCTACTCAATACATCTTCAATTTTCTTCCATTAACAGTTTTTCAGTACAGTAAGAACCACAATTTTATACGTAATTAATGTGGAAATAAATCCTGCATTAGCAGGGAAATGGGAAAGCTCAAAGGTCTCATCACACTCAAATGTGTGATGTTCAGTTCTATTCATTTTACATTTCAAACCCCTGCATTATTGGCACTGAGAAGCACAGCAGTCGTTCCTCTCCCTGCTGCAATGACTCACTTCCCTCCATGACTGGCTGCTTCTCTCTATAGAGAGGTCTTATTTTCATGTCACGCTCAAAACGACCTAAGAAGTTACAGCCCTGGCAACTTTTAGACCTTTCCCAGATTTCTTTTTAATTCCCTTGGATAAGAAGGTCCTAAATGCTCAGCATTCAAATGTTGGGACACTGCCTTTATAAACAGCAAAAGAAGTGGATGGTTCCAGTCAAGGGGACAGGAGCTAGGAAATCCTTCCATTTACACCACCAGTTTTTATTTGTCTCAGCTAAGTGAAGGTGAAACATTTGAAAGTTGTTCAAAGGTTTGAACAAAATCAGTCGGTACTGTCTTTAAAACCAATCAGGCCTTTAAATTAACTGAAGATGGACACTGAAGAACTCAACTACATGGGGAATTACTCTTTTTCCACTGTAGTACTTCCAGTACCATGTAACCATATAGACTTCCAGACCAACCACCATGTAAACTTTGAGAAGACATTTAAAAGGATCAAAATGCTGTTTTGTTTTACAGAATAGAGCTAGCCCCAGGCAAAAGGAGGCAGAAAAAGAGAGGAGTGGTCACAGGCAGTAGTTCGTGCTTATGCCTTTAAAAACTCAAAAAAAAAAAAAAGAAGCTGCATGAGTATTGTTGTCATCTGTTTACCAGCGACATGTTCACTTTCACTTCACTGATGAATATCAAACCCAGTGTCTTTAACACAAAGCTTTGTCTAAGCTCTGCTTAAACAGCATCTTCTTCGGCCTCTGTGGGAGACAGAATAATGGGCTGGATGGACTCAGTCAGGCATCTGCTGGCTGCTGTTCTGAGTGGCAGTAGACATGTGGGATACCTCACTGTTTGCCTCCGTGCTTGCAAAAAGTTCAGCCAACTTCAATGCTTTTCAATTGGACATTGTAGTAATTTTCCTGTAGTAACTTCATGTCAACATAAAAATATTTGCCAAAATGAGAAAACAGTTATTTTCACATACCACCAATTTTATTAGAGTACTGAACAGTCAGAAAAGTAATTTAGATGTACCTTGCCAGAAGAGATTTAAATACCTATTTAAACCTAGCAAAATATTCATTAACTATTAGCACATAGAATATTGAAGTTTAAGAATTAATCTCAAATTTGCTATTCCAATTCAGTAACTGTAACTTCAAGCAAAAGGCTTTAGGCTTTTCCCATGTGTCACCTCCTTCTCCTTCTAGGTAAAGGAACACACAGATCTTCTGTGAGTTATCATACAGCTTGAGACTACACCTTTACCTGTTCTTATGTCTGGTTTCACAGACCATCAATACAAAACAGGCCTGTTCAAGCTCACTTGAAACTAGCCAAGATGTACAGGTAAAACAAAACATCCACATGGCACCGTAAAATAACATAAGAATTGGTAAACCAAGTTGTATCAAAGGTCCAGTTAACCAAATATCCTTTGTAAAAGACATGAGGTTTAAGAAAAGCCTAAAACCAAAATAGCCACACCACGAGCACTCTGGCTTTTGGCAGCCAGCAACCATCTGCTGAGATGGAGCCTCGACCATAAGCTAGCAAGTGTAGTAGTCATGGCTGTCTCTTCTGCTCCAATAAGCACAGCCTATAATGCTTAGAGACATACAAAAAACACATATAAGAAAAAAAAAATCATACATGTCCTTGTTGTCAGTCATAACAACTTCATTTGAATGACTGGATTTGCAGCAATCTGTTCCTGCTGTAACTTTGGTTTTAACATCTCTCCTATCCATGTGTGCCCCATGAGTGGGTTTGAAAAAAATTAGCTACCTGCTTTTTCAAAATCAGGAATGGCCTCCCTCTTTTATCACATCAAAAGGTATCAACTCTAATACATCTTTCTAAGAATTTAAATCTACACTTGTCCTTACACCTGTTGTAATGCTTCTTTCATAACCATGGGAGTTTTAATGTATGACTGAACATGCTAGATGCGCAGATTTTGTACGTCACCAACAGATGTTACTGTGACATTTTATCTAAGTTATTTGACCCTTAACAACAATATTCTTGCTCTCTGGCAAGCTGGGGTGCCATCTGAATTCCATCATTGACTTACATGGCCTGGTACTGTAGCTGTATCGAAAACGCACGTTTCCTCCTTGTAACAGTATTCCTCAAAAGAGACACATCAACTCTCCAACTGAAAGTGTTTATAACCAATGTTGTTAGTTATAAAAGTGCTCCCTTTTATCACACAACTACTACTGGTTTTATTTATATTGCATCATTGCCACAGTCACAGATCAGGGGTCCACCTGGCATGCAACTAATAGACAATGTAAAATTCCTGTCTTACTGTCCTAGAGCTTGGACAGTAAACTGCCTGTTGTAAGTATAGCAGCAGGTTTTTCTTCTTCTTCCTGCTTCTGTCCCTGTTACTCTTCATTCCCACTGCTCTCTAGCAACTGAACAATCTCCTTCCGAAGTCCTTCTCCTCAACCATTTGAACATGCATTTCTCCTCCACTGTCTGGTAAGCATTATGAAGAAAGATCACATCAGTTAAATGCTAGGCATTTTTCTCTCTTCTGTTCTTGTCAAGAAAGGGGAATGCTAGTTATGGGACTGGGGAGGGGAGCCAGGGTGGTTCTACCCTCTCCCCCAGACTTTTAGCTTCTTGAGCAAAGCAGGTTTATTGCACTGCTGGTCCAGTTAACCATTCTTTCCCCCTCAACACATAAATGAGCTCTCCCAAATTCAGCAGCGAGACAGGAATACGGGAAATGGTTCAGCTCCTGTTGGTCTCATGGCTTCAGATATGGCATGGTGACCTCCAGGAAGAGAAGCAGAGCTCAGCTCTTAGCACTGCTTTTGGCAGCAGACAACTGCAAGTCAGCCACGGTGTCCATACGGCTGATAGCCAGACATCAGCTCAGCCACCCACAGCACACACCATTCGTACTGCTAGAAAGGGGAAAGCAGGGAACCGAGTAGATTCCCATTAATGGAGCTCAGGAGACACTGTTCATCTGAGGCCTTCCTACTCCTGGGCTCATGGAGTAGCTTCTCTCATGGTCATGCGGTTTATGTTTGCACATGATGTCTGCCAGCTCTAACCTCATCCCTTCTCTTTTTTCATCACTTACACAACACATTTTGGTCCTTCTCCCTCTTTCAGTCTCTTATTTGCCACTTAGAGACATGATGCTCTTTTAGATCTCTGCCAAAAAAGAGAATGAGGCCACTTGTATTTTGGTAGTTATAGTCTGGTTATCTCCTGAGGACAGAAGAAAAGGAGGGGACGAAAGCAGGAGCAGAACTTTGTGGAAACTCAATGACCTACATTATCCCACTGGATTTTTATTGCTTTAAAACAATTAGGAAGATTAATGTTGTCGTCTCCATTTTAGAAGCTTTGACATACACGTACATTTTAGAGTATTTTATAAAGACTAATGTAGTCATCTGCCTTAAATATAGCAGACCTTTCACAAATAACAGTTTTATATTTCTCCAACAAGATATAATCCACAGTGAAACGCATATTTGCATGAATAACCTTGATCCATTAGGGGAAAGAAAAAGGATTTAGTCAGAAGAAAGACTTGCACATTTGTGATATTAATACACAGATTTAACCTAAGAGGCAAATAATTACTGTAGCCATCATCAAAACAGAGAAAACCACATTGCATTATATGGCTTACAAGCAGCAGGGTTTTTTTAATAACCCACAAACTCCTCTGGTCTCCCTAATACTCAGGCTTTTCCTGTCCCATTTCTGCAGATAATGCTGACAGTCAGATGATTTTTCTTGATTTCTGATTCAGTTATTCACCCTCCTATCTTGTGAATCGCCCTCCCTACCCGCTTTCGTTATTCCACTGCATTACTCCAGATAGATACCCAAAACTTGGATCATGCCTAATCTGTATTTCTCCATGTGCCCTGAGGTGAGGAGGATGGCTCCAAACCCTCCGTGCTGGTCTAACACCACAGGGGTCCTCTGCCCGTCATTCCATGAATCAACCAAACTCCTTCCCCACCTATTCATGCGCTGAACAGAGATCCAAAGATAGTCTTACTTGCCAATCTACATTAAGATGGAGACAATTACAAAGGATGTGCAATGGTCGGAAAATTGCTTGTGTTCCTAACATGCTTCATAATAAGGCGTGGAGATACTTTATAACAAGAAGTACAAGATGATTATGATCTATGCTGCCTTACAGGTATTATATCTTATTATTATATTATGTTTTTATTATTATATTGTATTGTGTTATTATATAGCACATATTATTATATATATTCCAAAATTATGTCTAAGAATCATCCTTACTTATTTTGCACCTGATATCCTACAGAATACCTTGCCTGTGCAACAAGGTGGCCAATTCTGGAAGTGTAGCTGCTTGACAGGGAAGGAACAGGATGGAAATTCAGGGGGATGTATACACTTCACTGTCCTACAGACCTTTGCAAACCTCTGTCTAGAATCATTGGTCCCTAGCTGTCTTGAAAGTTCTGTAGACTACACTCAAAATGAGTTTCACTCTGTACTACGACATATTCCATTATTAATTTCTTCTTTTAGAATTAATCAGGTCCAAAAGCTCCTATTGATAAGCAGTTACTTTGAAAAGTTTTTTATATCAGCCTCCTCTTTTTTTCTCAGAGTATCTAAATTTATAGTCTTTAAGGTGGCTCATGAAAGTCACCTTCTCATAATCAGCAAGGCAATTGCTAAAGCTCATTTCCTTTCAACGACCAACTAAGGTGTGGGTAACTTTGCTCTCCTGATGTCTTCTACTCCAAAATCCACCTCCAATGCTTCTAGATTAGCTTTCAAATAATTTTCAGAACATGTATGTTGAACACATCTCAGACTGCAGCTGGCCCATTACCAGCAACAGTAAATGGTGTGAACTTCAAGGCAGTTGGCGTTATTTTACTACCAATTTTTTACAATTTTTAAACTCTACCTATGAGAGGCCCAGCTTCACTGTCAGTGCTGAGGTTCCCAGGTACTGTGGCAGGAATTCCAACAGATCCCTATAACAAGTGTGACATTATGCAATAGCATTGCAGATGCGGACTCTTTGCCAGCCACAGCTTTGGAAATACATGTACAGCTTTATCAAGTAGAAATGAGCCAGTTTAAACTCGGCACCCGAAGGCGTTCCTTCCCAGTCCAGCTGTGGTGCTGCAGAAGTTACTACCCAACAGCCAGTCCCAAGCTGCTCACCACTGCGTCCCTGCTGGGTGCTCTGACCTCAGCTGGCAGGCAAGCCCGCTCCTTCACAGTCCCTGGAAAAGCTGTTCACTGCCTCACCAAATCTCTGCTGACTCTCCCCGAAGCCTTGTTGCTTTTGGGCTTTTTTTTTTTAAACAGTGAAGTGTATCTCTAAATGTCTGAGGCTCCAACATTCACAGAACTCTTCATTCAACACCAAACTGAGCCAACATGGGAGTCTCTTCATTAGCATGCCAGTTCTGTTTCAGAGTGCTCATTAGAACAAAAAAGGCCAGTTTTTGAGTTGCATTAATTTCATGCTAAAAGATTACTAAATTTGTTTCAGGGTCTGATTCACACTTTGCAACTAATTTTGCAAGCAACTACTTAGTGGCTGAAAATGTTAAGGGTTATATTCAAATGAAGTTTTTAGGAATAATTTTTAAAATGCAGTTATGTTCTGCAAACATTTTGGTATTATAATTAGACTCCTTCCTTCTTTGTACACTTTTATTTGTAATGTGTCCCTATAATAAGCAAAACCAAATTTTCAGCATCCTCTCAGCCATAATGTGATGATACATCGGAACTTACAACCGACTGCAGTAATTTTACTGGGGCAGAGTATGCAGCAGCTGTGATCACAACAAGCAAATTCCTTTATACATACAACCTAAAGTAACAACAAAATATTCTAGTCTTTGTCTGTGAAACTGAAGCAAGCTATATGGAAGCACTGGAAATTTTCAGTCAAATAGGTGTATAAGGTTCTTATTAGACCTACAAAGGTTACTAAGTAACAGAGGGACAAGGTCAAACACAGCGACTACTGACAAAACCCCAGCAACAGAATCAGTGTTGCTGTTAGCCAACTGCAGAAGACTATGATAAGGGAGAGTCACGAACACTGAAACCACTTTTCACTCCCAAATGAAACCTGCACATAGCGGCTGATGCTCAACAGCAGGATGATTTGGTTCGTTTTGTATCGCCATGCATAATGCTATATAGCTTAGCTTGTTGGAGAATATAATTTATAAAAAATTCAAAGCAACAGTTATACTTACACAGACAAACAAAAAAGGCGAGGGAAAATAATTTCCAGGAGAATCTCTCCTATTGGAATAGTCTGCTTTTACCGTGATATCAGAATTACTTTCCAGCCTGCCTCCCTACAATAAACACCCTTTGTTGCAAGAAAGTAACACATCATACCTTTTTCTGCTTTGCTTGTGTTATGTTTTTCAAGTAGGAGGTAACGAGGACTTTCGGGAAGAAAAGGCAGAATCACGACTTGTATCAATGAAGGAACAATTATTGCTCCAAATAAGTAAGGCCACCAAGATTCCTGCAAATGGATACAAATATAAGTCAGTAACACTCTCCCACAGTGATACCAGGAGGAAAACTGGGAAACGCTGTAACCTTTCATCATCCAACACACTGTGTTAGTGAGCAGAGTGATGTCTTCTGCCTGAGCTTAGTAAGCAGTCTGAACACTTCCCCCTCAGACCACCTTACTCAAGGGCCCAGGAAGACAGAATTCAAGCCATCAACCAACTGAAAATGAAGAGAGACACAGGGAAGCTGGAAAACAGCAATACATAACATGTTTTTTCTTTCCTTCAGCATCAACAACTATACATGTAAAAATACGATATATACTCAAATATATATTCTACAAGTCATCCCCACTCACAGCAGTATCACTCATTAGCTTTAAGAAACAGTACAACACTATTTTCATATAGTTATATATATATATCTGTGTGTTGTCTCTTAGTCTAATCTAATTGATCTAAATATATATATATATTTGGCTCTAATTGTCATAGTATGGCTAAAATCCTGATAACGTTTCAGCTAAACTGCAGTTTAGCAGAGTTTTGTGGTTCTCGATGTAATGCAGGCAGTGATCGTTCAGCATTTCACAGCTGCTGGGAATGAACCAAGTCAGGCTGAGGTCTCACCACAAGCCTCTTCTACTTGGCAGAACACATTTGCCTTACAGGTACAACTAACACATAGTTTGGCAGTTTTCATTTCCTTAGAAAAGAAGACATATACAGTTCAATGCAATTAGAGTGAAAGACAGCTATATAATTTAACAAGAAAAGAAGATATCTGGCTAACTGATGTGAGGCTGTCTTCATGAATGTTTTCTCCTGCAGCCAATGATTCCACCTCTTAAACTGGCTTCCATGCTAATTTAAGTATAAGAAATGGGTTTCACTTATATTTCTGCCCAAACTCACAGGACCTTAAAGAAGTCCTTTGGTTTTATGGTAGTGCAACTAAGAATAACACATTATACTGTTTCCCACTCTGAATTAGCTAACCTAGCTCAGGTGTTCAAATGGAACTCTGACAGCCCTAGTCCATGAAACAGAAAGAACTTTTTCTATTGCCTTGCAAGTGACCCGCTGGAAGTCTCCAGCAAGGACCCGAAACACGAGAGCCATCTGCAGCATCCCCACCAATGCAAAGCACCAATGACCCCTCACTGGCAAGTCTCCCATGCAGAAGTGAGGAAGTTTTAACCTGCCAGAGCCCCACTGTGGTGCAGGTGAAGAGCACAAGGAGCTGCACTATCCCCCACTATTTATATGAATATCCTCAACTGCTAGCAGATTTCAGACACAACTTGACTTTGATAAGTTTCTTTGAAATCAACTGAAGCAAAGTTAACATCTTCAAATGCATTAATTACTTAAAACCAGCTATAGAGGGTGACCTGAGCAAAGCTCTTTCAGGAAAAGGCTGGCAAAGGTAGTTGAGAGCTCATCCAGCTCTCTGGGCTTACTCTCAAGACAGGATACTTTCAAGTAGCTGAAGAAGAAAAGTGCAAGCAGTATTATTTTCTCCTGCAAAATGGCCCTCAATCTGCCCACGTCCTTAAGATACTTTCTGCTCCAATCGAACGCCAAGATTAAATTTTTTAGTCGTTTTCTCCAAGTTCAGCATTCATCTATTTAATTCAATGCTTTCTAATCTGAGACTTGGTTCTTAATTGAAAAGCCTGCTTAGACTTCAGTGGGCCTACTGTTCAGGCATCACGTCTAGCACATTTTCAAAAGCTTGGCTAGATCAAAGGCAGATTGCACTGCATCTTGGCTGACTGAGCTCTGAGAGGCACCAGGGGTTTGGATCCCTTCCCTCCATCAGAGTAAATCTATCTATTCAGAGCCCTAAACAGAGCTAGATAAATTTTATTTCAATATAATTTTTCACAGTCAAATCAAAAGTCAAAAGCCCCCAAACTATTTTCTGTTGATAGCTTTTATTTTATATTCTCCCACTTCAGTAATGCCTGAAACACTGGCATGGTGTGGGATGTAATCCAAGCCCCAAACCTGAACTGGGGCCTGAGATAACTGAAGAACTCCCAGGCAGAATATGTGGGGTATCTCCTAATCAAATTTTTCACTTGCCCTTTAAGTGACAGAGTGGGTTGTTGTGGTTTTTTTTTTAAATCTCCTGGGATGGGAAAACAACTTGAGAAAGCGATTTTTTCAAACAATTTAAAGCTTGAGGCTATCAGTCTTCCTAAAAGACTCCATTACCATAAAGACTTCAAAATACCATTTCTTCATTCCTAATTTTTTTTTTACTGCAGTTGGAGAACTTTACCTAATATAGGAGAATCAAGAATGGTTAACAATCTGTTTATGAACAAATCAGCCTGAATCATATTTTAAAAACCAGAAAATTAAACTAAGGTTGTGACTTTAAGAACAGTTAATAATCACATAAACAAAGTAGGTACCTGTTTGTAAAGAATAACTTAAGAAAACAGGCAATATAACCCATCAGTTTCATTCTGTGTCTGCCTGGAATTATTTCCTATAACATAAACACGCTTGCTATGTAGCATATAAAAAAGTTTATAGGGCATTAGAACTTTTTAGAATACATCTAGATAAAAATCTTACTCTTGATAGGCACATCATATTTTCTGTAGGTTTTTTCCACAATGTCAAGCCCACTTCTTAAAGAAAAAAAAAAGAAAAAAGTATCCTCTGTATATTGTTATTAACATTCTGCCAATGTATGGAGACTTAATTGGAATAAGCTTTCCACCCCTTTTAAAGTCTCCCATAGTGTAATGTCTTTTCAGTTGGTCACTTTTCTCTCACATAACTCTTCTGAAAGTGTCATTTTGAAAAAGCTATATACAAGACTTTTGTATATATATATACTTGAAATACTTCCAAGTATTTCCTCAATGAAAGACTTCTGTCTTACTTTTCATTATGCTAATTTTTAAAACCTTAAGGTAAACAGTCATAAATATGCTCCCACTTGCCATTGCTGGCATGAGTTGATCAGTAAGTCACTGAAGTCAATGGAAACTTATCCATCCATTTCAAAAGTTTTCGGGTGACTATTTCACGCTATAGAACATGTATTGTACTTGCTTTTCTCTTAATTTACATTATCCATGTTCAAATTCTTCATCCCACTACAGAAAAGAAATAGGACTAAAATAAGCTTAAAAGATCATTAAAAATTGCTGAAAATCAAGCTGAATTGGACCCTATAAAGATGATTAAAAGAAGCAGGGGAAAGGAGGCTTCCCTAACCTCTTTAAGAAGGAATAGGACAGGACACAAACAGGGACAACGCTCAGAAGCAATAATAAGGTAAAGGCAAAAGACAGCGTAGGTGTGACTTAGAAGACACATTAACACTTTGCCTCAGTTGTCATCAGTAAGAAGAAGCACATAGGCATTGCTGAGAGAAATTAAAACAACCACATCCCATTTTATCTCAGGAAAAAATTAAAAGAGCATTAAATATTTTAATTACAGGGGACCTGACACATCACCTGCTCAGAACTGGTAAAAATAACATGTCAAGATGGTAAAATTTTAATTTTAAACTGTCACATTATGGGTATTTGCTTAAGCTGGAGCATGAAAAACCTGGCTTTGATCTATTTACAAAAGACAGTTAAATAGTAGAGCAAGTTTGACAACCATGGACTCATTCAAAGGTTGACATAATAAAATGAAAAGCTGCAGAAATACAAGGTGGAGAGGAATGGATAAAGCACAACATGGATTTATCAACTGCAAATGAGACAAGATCAAACTATACCAGAATACGGTAAAGCAAATGTCACCATGTCAGAGAATCATCAGCTAAAATGCAGAAAATGGAACTTACTGTAACAATTAAAAGGTGGAAAAGAAACTGGCATGGGGAAATGTCAACAGGAACTGCTGACAGCTGAACTATTCATCCATATGGAGTTCAATTCATGGATATAACAATTTTAAAAGGGAGAACTGAATCGCTGACAGGGTCATACAACAGGGTGGGAAGAAGTGCTGCACTGTACCGTATGTGGGCACTAATTTTTGGAAAGATCTGGTGAGGCAAATTAAGTATCCAGTACAAGATGTATGACAAGATCATAAAGACTTGAGTAAGGAAATACATGACTGCCACAGGCTCTACTCCCTCTCTCTCTCCCCCTCTAAATAATTTATTTATAAACCAGAACCTGGACATGCATCCCACTCCCCATGCCCAAGTGAGTATCAACCACTACAGCACAGTCAGGCTCCTTGTTTGCTCTCTGCCCTGACTTTGGTTTTCTGTGCTGTAGAGACCCCCATGTCCAGCTGAGCACCCCTGACCCCAGCTGCCCCAGGGCATGCTTCCCGCATCCCTGGCTCCTGTCCATTCTAGAGCCACAGGGAAACTACTGCACCCCAAACGCAAGCCCCAAACACCTCCCGCTAGGCAGCAGCCTGCACACAGGGTAGCACAGGGCAGTGCCCAGAGGAGTCCAGCCCTGATTTGCATCCCAGTATAACAGTCACGCCACCTCACGGAGCTATAGAGGGCTTGTTCAGCTTTACGGCTTGAAACATGCAGGAGATTGTATCAAAATAAATACTCTCCCTTTTTCTCATTCAGTGCACAGGATGAACTTGATTTCTCAGTGAGCAGGACTATTTACCGAGTCACTATTAAACAGCCACTATTTAAATACTAATACTGTAATCAATTTCTTGGGGGGTGGCGTTATGATGGGTTTACTACAGTGCTGAACACTTTAGAAACAGCAATGATTTTTTTGTGTAATACCTTTCTCATGTAAAATTACATTTCAGCCATTTTATATATGAGGAGCAAAGAGACAAAAGCCTCTTGCATCCAATGCAAGATACTCAAAATGTTCAGGAACTGGTGATTTTGCAGTCTCTTCTTTTTCATGTTCCTGTAAAAACCAGGAATGCATTTAAAACTTTAGTTTGACAAAATATAATCACACACACAAATATCTGGGTTGCCTCTGTTGTAAACGAGAAGGTAAGCAATTTATAGCCTTTATTA